AGACACTGAGCGTGTTCCACAATACAGCTGTGTTCTCCTGAAATGTGTGCCTTAAAGACATGTGTTTCACTGTCGGTCACTCAGTGTATCTGTACAGTGCAGAAGGACATCAAAGTGAAGTTTACTGCTCTGGGTCGGCATGGGGGTGATTGGTTCCAACTCCCCTTTGACAGCTATAGAAATTATGCAGAAAGAGTCAGAAAACACTCTCGCCTCTCCCTGGCGGTGTGCTAACAGAGCCCTGTTTTGGAAAGAGGTGGGTCTTGGGGAACATCCATCCAGGACAAACTGAAAGTAGGGTGGAGATGAAGGCAGTTCAAGGGACACAGTCTAGCCGTCTAGGCTGAAAGTGCAGGTTGCTGTGGGAGCGAGGAAAGGAAAGTTACTGCCTAAAGGAGTTGAGGCATTTCCTACCCTAAAAGACTCCATTAGGGAAGAATACAAAATACCTAATTCGCTCCCTACCCAGAAGGGCTTGCGTGAAAAATGCCAAACCGCTTGGCTGGTTGTTTTTTTTTGTTTGTTTGTTTGTTTTTCAAAATTCCAAAGACTTTCAGTTTTTAAAAAAAGGTGTTTTGGATGTTCCCTCCCCCCGTTCCCTCCCTCCCCCCGTTTTCTCTCTCCTCCCACCATCCCCTTTCCCCGGTGCTGCTGCCAAGAATGAAACACTGAAAAGAATTTGGCTTTTTTCATGGAAAAAACTGAAAATTTCAAAGCATTTTTGGTTGAAAAAAAATTCCTGGTGACAAATTCTGACCAGCTTCTGTAACCCCACCCCCTCACTGAGCTCTCCTTCCACCAGGGAGCCGGCACAGGGCTAGGCAAAGGGGCTGGGGGCTAAATGGGAGGAATGGTGTGCTTACCAAATCACAACAAACACCGCAGGGAGAGGCAGTCAGGATAGCTGCTCAGAGAGAGCGGCTGGTCGTCAGCTCTTAGCCAAGCAGCTTGGAGGAGGTGTGGATTGTTACTACTCACTGAAGGAGGGGGTTTCTGAGCTTTCTTCTTCCAGCGAGTCCTGCTGATCCTTGGCCCCTGGTGCTCCAGCCTGCTCCATTTGGGATAAAATGTTCAGTTTGGTCCCTGCATAGCCTGTTAATGGGGGAAAATCAGGCTACGTTGTGTTGCCGTACGGCTACCGCTGCTAGCGTCCCATTCTCCTTGTACCTCCCCCAGCTCTCTCTAGTCTGCCATTCTCCATGACTGTTAAACGTGCTCCCTTAATCCTAATGTCCACTCTAACCTCCTTCTCCTCAGACAATCTGAGGCCACTGGGTGATGTTCTCTGCCCTGGGTGATGCAGGAGGTCACCCAGGTCAGAGAACCTCACCCAATAAACTGTCCATCAAGCCCCTAACTTCTGTCTGAGCTCTAGCATACCTCTTAGAAAGACACCCAGTCTTGACTGGATGACTTCAAGTGATAGAAAATCCACCACAGCCCTAGGTTTGTTGCCCGTAATGGTTAATTACCCTCACTGTTAAAAACGTGCACCTTACTTCTCAGCCAATACGTGAGCAGCCTGGACGTCTCTCCAATCACCTGCCTTAGGGCAATACTCTGCCCAGATTGCAGTAACCCCTTTCCCTCATGAAATCAGTGACTTGCTCCTTTCTGCTGCTGCTGATCCTCGGTGGCGTCCCGGCATCTAGAAAAGGCCCTGGGTATTTCAGAGCCCACACAACACCCAGGAAAAGGAGGAGGGTTGAGCTTTACCCAACGAGGTCAGGAGACCGTAATTCTCCTCCATCGTGTCCTGATACAG